TTACGTATGGCCACAGTGGAGTGGATTTAACTTGCGAGCAGGTCTCCCCTTCCTTTAACAACCCTATCTGGAATGTAAGACGACGGTGAAAGAGAAACTATGTCAGCTCTTAAGCAGTGCACTGGTTTATCTTTTAGGGTATCTCTACTGAAGTTGCATGATATTAATCTCCCATTGTGTTTGTGGTTGTTCCACCTGTCCAGATAAAACAGTTATCCTACGCCTATAATAATGCAGTATTAAAGGACAAAATGTTATTCCTTTTTTTTTGTGAGCAACTTTTTATTGTTTTTTTTTGCCCTCACAAAAGGGACTTATGCAGATACAAATTATATAGACAATATAGACAATACAAAAAGAAAAAGAAAAGACAAAATTTTTTAAAAAAAAGGACATTTATTCTAAAACAATATTCAGTCAATTAAAAATAAAAATGCATAAAGTCACTTTTAGTTGCTCCTAATCATAAAAAGTAATCATATGTTTGATTGAAAGCCAGAAGTAAGACTTGTATGAATCCCTCCAGAGCCTAGTTCAACACGCTGTGTCTGAACAGAGCCGGTAGTTTTCCACTCACTGGAGGTGCAGGGTTGTGTTCACAAGCAGCAGTGAGATCCTGTGTGCAGTATTCGAGGAATGTCTGGCATCCTGTCTTCTACACTGACTGCACTCTGGGTGGATGATGTCACACCCAAAGAACATACACATGAGCAGACATAAATCACTGATGTGACAGCTAGAACAAAAACAATTTGCTGTAGCATTTTGGCAATCTTGAGAAAAAGGGTCTGATTGTCACTAATGACATATTTAAAGACTGGCTTTTATCAGAGAGATGTGACCTTAAAGTACCATTACGTGCTTTCATGCTTCAGTATTTCTTAAACACTTAATAACATGGCTCAAAACAAACCATATCATGTGATGACTGACTTAAACTTTGTATGGAACTAACTGTTTTCCAGCAGAGACTATGACACTTATGTTTGTTATTACATTACATGTCACTTGTTAGACGCTTTTATCCAAAGCGACTCACATACTCAATACTGTGGACAATCCCCACAGGAGCAATTTGGGGTGAAGTGTCTCACCACGACATACTGACTGCAGTGCGGTTTTGAATGTGCTCCCCTGATCCGAACACCAACGCACTAGTCCACTGCGCCACAGCCTCCCTTTTACATGTATGACTCACTATTTGTTATTTTTTCCAAATGTTCTGCTTTTATTTGTTTCATTTGTATTGTTTGTTGTAATACATTCCTACACAGGGACCGCATATGCTAATATAAACTGGCTCAATGGATGTGTTGTGCACAAGCCCTGTTAAATAAACTATTAAACTATCCCAAAATCAAAATACCACTTGGCTCTGGTCAAACCCAATATGGAAACAAGTAGAGAACATTATCAGTAATTTACTCCGGATTCAGTGCTAAAGTAATGCAGTAATGAGAGAATACATCTGGCTTCAGCGACTTGAGGGCCCTGGGCAAAAGCTTTCATGGGACATCCCACATGACTGAGAAATGATCACCACGCATACGGTCTTAACTGGTGGTACATGCAACATTACTGAGGTCATTCTTCTCCTTCATTGTAAACAAAATGGCAACCTTTTTCTACATCACATTTATTTAATTTCTGATATGGGTTTCAAAATGGTGCTATCATAACTTTTCTATCTTTGCTAAGGAAGGGGATCTTCTTCTTATATTAGTGATGACCAAGCTACAGGTTGAGCTTAACATTTACTGTACATATAAATCTTTTTATGTTTCAAGTTTTAAATCATAATTTTAAGATTTGTGCTTTGACGTCTGATTTTTTTTTCAATCATATGATACGAGTTATTGTGTTAAAACACATATTTGTGTGCGTGTTTTTCTTTGAAATACCTCATCCAAAAATGTTTTCACTCCAGAAGCATGTAAGATTGGACTCATCCATTTAATTAGCCAAAATATACATGGACCTGATTTGGTCCCCTTTGTTTTGCTGAACTGGTTAAGCAAAATACAGAAAAGATAACAGATCTTCAAAATGTCTTGGTTTATGAAATGTAATTATATTCTGTTCTGTGTTAAGCAGTGATTTCTATTACAGTTGTCAAAACAGTCTCAGTGTTGAACACCCTTTCAGTAGAGCATCACACACATGTAGATTGATCCACAGAAAGACAGGGGTGTGAGCGCCATCTTATGGAATATAATTGTGTTACCAAAAAGAAAAAGACATCTTTGATGGGAATAAGTAGACTTACTGTCTGCAAAACATGTCTGTCTTTAGCATTCAGCGACATTAAGGCTGATTCCAAAAGCAAGGTGGTTTGATTACACAACCAATTTTTCATATTACCTCAATAAATGGACGTGATCGGGGAGCTGAGGTGGCCCAGCTATCTAAAGTCTCTGTTGACAGTAAAGAGGTTGTGAAACGATCAGTGTGCGTGTAGGAAAATCAAAATCCCACAGGCAAACACAGACGATGAGTTTTCAAGAGAGGATGTTAGATTAGCCTGACCTATTCCAATTCAAACGAAAGTCCAACAAATACCCTGGGTTCAATAGATCACACGGCTGAGCTGGATCAATCGAGAGACAGGCTGGACTGCTATTGGTTAACTCATGGCAGGGGTGTAAAGTAACTCATTTACTCAATTACTTGTACTTTAGTTAAGTATTTCAATGTGTTGCTACTTTGTGCCTTTGCTCCACTACAATTCAGAGGTAAATCTTGTACTTTTACTCCACTACATTTATTTCATATGTTTAGTTACTTTGCAGATTTTGATTAATGATGTGAAATTGATGAGTTAAGCATTGGGGTAAAATTCACAAGCTTCCCTGCTGCATAAAAAGTTATTAAAACTAGCTGCACCTTTACCTGCTTTGATAAACACATTAATGCATCAATAATTATAATCAAAACATATCATTCTGAAATTGGCCAATCCTCATAATGAGTACTTTTACTTTTGGTAAGTATATTTTGATGCCAACATTTTTCTACATTTCAATTGCAGGAATTTAAATTGTAACAGAGTATTCCTACGTGGTACTGAAGTACAAGATCTGAGTACTTTTCCCACCTCTGGCTCAAGGGACTCCGATTCAAACTTTTGACTTTTCACCGGTATTTTTAATCGGTAACACTAGGAGCCATTCTGTGAGTGTGACCACATAAGTAATCTGTATTAACTGATCATCAACTAACTGCAACATTGATATGATAAGAGATCATTAAATACAAATTTGAAGGCTGATAACAATAAAACTTCAGTTTTTATTGACAACTCGATTAAGTTGTAGTGTAATGCACAATAGACAATTTTCACTGAGGACTATTCATATAAAATAGAAAAAGCAGTACAAGCTTTTAAAAAGTGGTGTGTCCTACTTTTCTAGTCTAGTAATACAATTGTACATTGATTTGGAATCATAAAGTACTATGAAAGATATTAATGGAAAACTGCTGAACTGTCATACCGGGCGCTGTTCATAATGGCAGCCCACTGCTCCTAACACTATGGGTCAAATGCAGAGAAACCATTTCATTATATAGTACCTGTACTGTGTAATGACAAAAAAAAGAAGGAAAGAGCGTTCACATAAAATATAAAATGCAATAAAATACAATTACATGACAAGGAGACTATTGTAAACATATGGAGACTTTTCAATACAGCTTATTGTTGATTAAATGATTATGTAAAAAAGAATCCCCAATAAAAAGAGGTGCGTATTATTGCGTGACGTCATGTAAATTAGTGCCAGTGCACCTTTGTCTTATTTGTTTCTTTCTTAAACCAGTGAACAGAAAAGAGACTACAATGCTTTGCTCTGAGTAAATGGCCTAAATATATTTGAGCGAGGGGAGGGGTGGAACTCCCGGAAGTAGCGATATTTCAAAACAAAGCCCATTGTTTGGTAAAAGACACTTGACGATGGATAGAAATTTAGAGATATCATTTGAATTACAAGAGAATGGCCGGTCGTTGAGTTATTTATTCGTCAAAATCGATTCCGTCAATATCTTTCTAATTTAACCAAACTACGAAGGCCTTCATCCCGTCCTCTATAACGATATATTTTCGATATAGGCTCTGATATGGCATATAAGGCCCGTCTCTATATAGCCTACGGCCTATGTCTATTAAACTGAGTGGACCGAAGTGAATTTCCTCGAATGTCCAACCTAAAACTAACTTTACCACGGTGAATTTGGACTATGAGCAACTAAAAGAAAGATGCACCTACCACATGATGAAACTTCCTGGTTAGCGGGCGCTCACCTCACGAGGACAGCAATATTTGGCTAACATGCACGCCCAGTTTGCCCTTTTTAGAAACTGCGGTGTGACCTGAAACAAGTCACCAGTAGGCTATACTCTTATTGTCATGTATATATTTAACTGGTTAGGCGCATGCACACACACACACACACACACACACACACACACACACACACACACACACACACACACACACACACACACACACACACACACACACTTTAGGTTGGACTTGATTGGACAGAATAAGTGATAGCAATAGCCACGTGCTTATTGTTTACAAATCTTCAAATTTCAGGCGGGATTTGGTCTTGTTATTATAACGCAGTTTCCTGACTCACACGAGACCCACTGCTAGAACAGACCACAGTTCAAACGTGTTATTTTAGCAAACGTCATTTTAGGTGGCTAATTTACTCTTAAATTCAAAACGGTTTGAATGAAAAACAGCATGGGGAATAACCAATCTTCAAACATCTGCTTTGCCTTTGGTTTGAGCGAGTTATCTTTCCCACATGAAGAAAGGACACTTAAAGGCAGCACAGAGGGTAAGCCAGACTCTTTATTGTAAACCTCTTGTTTTCTTTGTGAATGCATTGTCTAATGTTTAACTTAAGGCTATTACATATTTTTAATGAATATAGAAAAAGTTTGGAATACAAATATAAAAAACAACATTATAACAATAATAATTGAATGTTCCTTTTCAGGCTGCTGTATATTTTATTACTTCTTCTTCGCGTACAAGATAGACAATGATTTGTTTTAATTTCCCACTGTTGTTGATTCTACTACCACTTCTACTGGTATTACTAAATAATGTAATTACAACACATTTAAACAAGGACAAAGGAAAATACAAATTGATAGTAAAAAGACAGTAGAGAAGAGAAGAGATAATCAGTAAACTTCATAATAACATTTAAATAAAAAAATGAAGTGAATTGGTTTGGGTTCTTGAAAACGTATTATGTAATGTTTACAGAGCTCTTATAAGTTCATAGAGCTATTATACGTTTGGTACATAGACTCAATATCTAATGGGTAGTTTTTCGTTACCAACTAAGCTCAAATATCGAATCCTAGACCAGTGCCAGGGCTATCTTACCACATCTCAAATTAATTCAATTGTATTTATTGTTTTATGCCGAAAGGAAATGCCTGTCACTCATTTGCTTGCTGAGCCCTGTGTGGCTGAGAAAGGTTTACAGAGGCCTCTGGTGATGTCATAGATTTTCCCAGACCCCTGCTGGGTGATGGGAAAAAAGACAAAAATGATTATGAGAATAGAAAGGGAAGTCACCGCTGGACAAGAACCAACGTGATCCAGAAGGAAAGAAAACAAACTATTTCAGTGTTTTCAAACCTTTGTATGGCCCCTTACTATCTGCTTCCTCCTTTTTGCTCCATGTATCTGTTCAACCACATTGTTGTCCATGTTCAGAAATACATTTTGCTATTCTTTTTCTCTTATAATCAGAATCAGAAATAGGTTATATTGCCAAGTAGGTTAACACATACATGGCATTTTTTTGTGTACATGGTGCATACATAAACACAGTTAAAGAAGATAAAAAGTAAGAAAAAACAACCGAAAAAATAAATAAAACCAATTGAAACTATTACATGTATCTGTGTTAAGATAATAGACCTACAATGAATTTCACCTATACCTACAATTTAGAAAACAACCTAACATTTAGAAATCAATACAAAAAAGTGGTACCACGGTGTGTTCAGAAAAATAACAGATTTCTAGTTTTCAAATAGTAAGAGGCATTCTTCTGCATGAAGGATGGCATGTTTTGAATTTAAGCCATTTATGATAACATTATTACTTTGTTCCAAACAAAACAGCAAATTGATGATACATTAAAGCCTCTAGGGGAAATATCTCTTTGGTTCTAATAAGAAATCAGATATATTGCTTAATTCAGAAACACCTGCTTCAAATGAGTCCAACATCATTTAAATAATTCTTGATTGCTTTAATGTAAAATCTGTCCCCCTCTAAACGTTTTAAATGACATGTTGGAAGACATTCCTTTCGTTCATACCCCTTTTGTATCACTAGGTGGCGCCGGTCTATTGATTTGACATCATAAGAGTCAGTGAGGGGAGGGCCAATACAGAGCTCAGCACTTCATGATCTGACTTTGGCAAGTAAAGGGATGAGTTCATTGGATTATTGTAGCCAAGCTAAGCTACACATCTCAGCGTTATGTTCCACTGTATTAGATCACTAAACATGTTTGTATTTAAACATCCATTGTCCAATCTCCCAGTCTGAGAGGCAACAGTGTTATAAGATATGATTACGCTGTGGTTCAGTGGAAGTGGTTGCTTGTGTCTTGTAGTCTTGAGCAACAGGTGTGGTTGTGTAATGTCCGCTTAGTTCTGTTGTTATATTTGAAGCTCCAGCAGGGCCTTCCTTTGAAGAGTACTCATGCCTTATGTACACTTTGGAGCTCTCATCCCTTCAGCCATGATGTGAGCAGAAGACCTGATACCATCAGACAGAGTGAGTGTCTGGAAGGTGGATGAGAGTGGAGAAAAGAAGTAGTCATAAAGCAGAGGATAGAGTTTCAGGTCAGACTTTATCTGTCACAAGGATCCATCTTTATGAACGCTTTTTTTTCCTGTTCTTTCCAGATCACATCTACAATTAGTTTCTCTGTATCTCAAGGTTCATACTGTGGAAATCATCTTTATTGCACCTCTGTGTGTCTGTAGAGTAAAGATGCCTCTTGTGAGTGCAAGTACGACCGTGGCCATTTTTCTCTCATGTGATAGAACTCTTGGGTGGCATAAGGGGAGGCAGTTAAACATTCAGCACCAACTTAATTATTCAAGACTGCTTGTTTGTGTGTGTGTGTGTGTGTGTGTGTGTGTGTGTGTGTGTGATAGAAAAAGAGCTAAAAGAAAATGAAACAGATCATCATTGAATAAGTAACATTCATAGGACAAATATCTCCTAGTAATCTCTCTCTTTACTGATGGGGAGTCTGTCTTTAAGCCTCAGTTGCCATACATTATTAATGTTGATTTAAATTTCATGAATAGGTCATGGCGGTCGTTTAGCTGAGGATATTTTTGAATATGGGGCAAATTCATCCATTGTGATCTCGATCATATTTCAGTCCAACATGGAGGATAAGTGTGTGGCTAAGTTTGGCTGTTTGTCTGTCAGCAGGATTACAGAAAAACAACCGTCCTGATTTCCATGAAACTAGGTGGAAGAGTGTAGTATGGTCCAAGGAAAAACTCATTACATTTTTGGGCTGACCTGAAACACAGCCGATACACAAATGAAGTTCCACTTTGGTTAACAATGCGAGATTGGGCACCTGTGCTACATCTGGTGTCAGTAATTGGAAAAAGGATTTATTTTAGTGGGATAAATAACAAAAAAGCTTGCCTGCAGTTGGAAACTTTTAGGACACATTTTCAAGTTTTGCCTGATGTTTCCTTTGCTCTTCGTTGTCATGCAAATACTCAAATCCTTTTTAAATAATGTGGACCTACAGCATAATTCATTTTTCAGGGTTTCCGCATTAGGACTTCAAGCTCATGAACACACAGAAATCAGAAGAAAGGCTTCCCAACACAGGCAATGGGATCCTCCGAGGAGCGTGTGATGCACTATTGAGGTCCATGCTCTCCGATCACCATACCAGTTTTATAATGATGGTGACACCTTCGAACGTCCATTATTTTTAAATTCTCATTTTAGAGAATCTGGAATGCTTGAATGATGAATGACAGATTAACTGCCTATCAAAAACTGTCACCAATTAATTTTCTGACAAATGGTTTTAGCCCTTATTATTATTATTATTAGTCTCAGCTTAGTTGACCTAATTCCAGCCTTGCAGTATTGCCTTTAATGCAGAGATAGAAAATCCATATTGTTCACATCAAATCTGATCTGTTTGCAGCTTAAAGGCTGGCAGCGAACCCAGATCTCTCTTATCGCAATCTCAGCTTCCTCCCCTGAAGTTCCAGTTCAATAATGTTTCCTCCCTGTGTTGCTCCCTGTCTTATCTCTTTACTTCCAAGTAAGGGAGAGTGTTATCCATGCCTAGAACTGTGATCAGGATGCTCCCGCTAAAACTTGGCCTAATTTGTGGAAGCACCTGAAAATGCTATTATCAAGACAAAAGAACAACTGTTGGCAAAGGAAGCTTGTAAATGAGAAACAAGTTGTCTCTTCAACCTGTAAATGTGTTTCTGGAAATTTTAGTCCTAAATAACAAGGTGGTGTTCACCGGTTTTAATGATTCAAACTTAACCCCAAAACAAAGCAGAGCTGCAGTGATACTTGACGCGCTGTATTTTTGCCTCTGTATTGCTTCTCGTTGTTAATAATCCTCTGGGACATTAGATACGCTTTAGGGAAGGAAGTTCTCATATTTACAAGTTCCCAAAATAGCCCCGTCACCCAGCACTCTCAGTATATCAGTGTCCTACCCGAAGCGGGGGCCCCGCAGAAGTTTCCCACACGTGTCACAGGCCAATGTCACGACAAGGGGGCGAGGGAGAGAGGAAGAGGGCCAGGGAATGGGAAGAGGCAAGATTAGCTTTAAGGAGTGGCAAAGAAAATAATGAGGAAGATAAATAAAAGCTCATGTGAGAAGGGGAGGGGGGTTAAGACAAAGGGCGTGGATGGTGCTTGACCTCGTGGAAGTGGAGGGACATGGACTGCAGGAAAAGGGGCACAGATGGGCGGAAGCACTCAGCAGTGTAAAAGCGCTATAGGTGAAGCGAGTGTCTGTGAAATTGACCCTGTAGGTTTCCGCCACTCTTAAATCAAACACAAGGGTTATGCAACGGGGTGTTAACGGCCCTCGCAGCTTGGTATTTCATCCCCCTGATGATGGATTTCACAGTGGTAATACCTACCTGTTGCATGTCCCGGCTTGTTTACCTGTCAACATAGTTAGCTGCATACTGTACATTGTATCATCTAAAGTGTTCAATGAGATCAAATTACAAAGTTCCCTTTGGCTCAAACTCGTTCATGACAGTTGCCTTTGATGTCTGGTATGCAGTCCGTCTAAGGACTGAGCCTCCAGATAGTGAATAGTGTACAATCCAACACATTGCTAGATTCTGACAGCCCAGGAATGATCAGTTACATTTGATGTCTCTTACTGGCAAACCAACTCTTCAAAGGCATTTAATTAAAGTATCAAATGTATTTTGGTGATTATTACCTCACTAAGATGTTTGACCTTCTCCGTGAACTATGGTGTATTCAAAGATGTGGACACTAGAGGCCTTTCACATCAAGTTTATCACAACTACTTGGAATATGACATTTACATTACATGTAATTTGTTAGACGCTTTTATCCAAAGCGACTTAAATACATTCAGCACTGTGGACAATCCCCACAGGAGCAATTTGGGGTGAAGTGTCTTGCAGGGACACAACGACATGCTGACTGCAGAGGGACTCTAACTTGCTACCCCCTGATTCCAAGTCCAGCACTCTATCCACTGAGCCACAGCCGTTTGCGTAAATGTACGTGAATCTACTGAAAATGGACTTGTTAGTAAAGTAGGAGACATCTTGTGTCTGTGTATTTCAACTTCTGAAAATATATGCACATTTAGAGAGCGGGTGAAGATGGAGTAGATCTAATTTTAAGAATTTTTAACAAGGTAGTTGAACTTTTCCGTGGAGAGACCACATCAGACAGATCATTATCACTCCACGCAGATCATAATGTCTTAAACATGTCCCTAAAATAATCAGGAGATTGCACATATTTTAGAAGAAAAACAAACATGAACTCGCTCTTTTTCTGTCCCTTTAATTTTCATAATATATACAATATTGTTTATTTTGGACTTGGACTCCAACTGAACTGGGTCAGCCAAAACAAGCCGATCTGAATCAGAGGAAAACAGAGGGAGCCTGGTCCTCTGCTGCTGATCTGTCTCTGCTTCCTGCTGGAGCTGCAGCTGTGGGGCGGCAAGTCTGTCATGAAGAAGATCAGCCCTCTCTGTACTCCTGTAATTGTTCTTATTCATAGTCTGGAAATGTAATGAAAAAACAAGAACATCGCCATGTCATGTCATCCTCTTAAAAAACCTCCTCTATTTGTACATCAATCTTTAAATCAAAGGCAGTAATACAAAACATCAGGAAGTAAAGTAGAGATTTGATGAAATGAACTTATTGCACATATTAAACCTGGAACTAACAAAGCTTAAATTATTGCCTATAAAAACATTAAACATTAAATCATCAGTTGCATTCATTTCTTAGGCTCAATCTGCAGTCATTTCTTACGATTACATCTTTCCACAGGCCAACAACAGGTTCAAAAAAACGATTTCCCTCAAAGAAAAAAACAAACATGCCCTGTTGTCTCAAGAAAAAAAATGCAGAAGGAAACATCCATTGAAACTCAGTTTGCTGCTCTGTGATGCTAGTTCAAGCCAGATACTTGGCATCTCATCTTGGGTGCAAGTTCATCAATGTTTGGGGTCAGAGAGTTTGACACATGTGCTTTAGATAGAGAGAAAGAAATGTGATTGACTCGCACAGATCTCACTCTCATATTGTCAGAATGTGTTAGATAAGATAAGATAGAACTTTATTGATCCCAATGTGCGAAATGTTTGTGTTGCAGCAGCATAAAAAGACATGGCACTGTACACTGCAAATTAGAAGACGAAATGAACAAGGGAGTAGAAAATATACATGTTGAATTTAAAAATGAACAAAAACAAGATATAAACAAGGTATTATATTTACATAAGTATGTGACGGATGGAATATTAAATATTAGAATATATAAATGTAATGTTATCTTGAAGTGATACCTGCAGGTGTAGCAGGGAATAAGGAAGCCTCCATGTGCTCAGTGAAGAGCATCCCTCCAGAGCAGAGTGGTAGCGAGCAGAGGAGTCGGTACACATCAGCTTCAAGCAGCTCCATGGGAACAGGCGGATGGCAGCTGTTTCCCTGGAGACCTGGGACCAACAGGACCTGCTCTCTAATTACCTACGCCCACCCGAGTTGGCAGCGAGGCAGGGAGCTTGCCTCCGTATAAGACCCTTAGCACAGAAATGATGTATATCTCTTTAACTTCATGCTGATCCTTTGTTCTTTAATAGTTGTGGAAGAAAGATGCGTAGATGCAAAAGGACAGCGGCAAAGGATGTGAAGGCTGGAAAGGAAACAACGCAGGCACTTTTGAGACAATGCTGGCATGACTGTAGATTAGAACTATGCTGACAGATAAACTTTGAAATAAAGTTCAAAAACAAAGGCTGAAATTTCTCTTTTGCTGTGGTAGAAGGACTGTGTCCTATGTCCTGCATGATATTCATCAATTTAGCATCAAAAGCTAGCAAGCAGTGGACATGTGATTGACATTATGTCAGCTTATCAAACCTTACTGTGGCTTCAAGTCTAAGGAAATGATAGAGTGGTGCAGGGACGACGTATTTTTGTTGGCCGACCCGGAAGTAAGCTTCGCATGGGTTCCCTCGACAAAAAAGCAATGGGATTTCTCCAGAGGATTTTGGAATATTGTAAAAAATAAGGTCTGTGGAATGTACATTTTGTTCAGCCGGATAAACGTTTTGTTCAGCCGGATAATCTCCACATGTCTACCCTACTTTTATAATTTTCGAGTCTTAAAGGTGTGGTATGTAATTGATCTCAGAAACAATTTGTTATATTCCATGGAATCCACTTAACATCCCGATAGCAATGAATATATTAAATGCTTTGACAATAAATACATAAAAAAGTGTCATCTGTGGAAGCTGTGGTACTGTAAAAAGCACGACCAATCATTTTAGCCGGGCTAAAATGATTGGTCGTGCTTTTTACAGTACCACAGCTTCCACAGATGACACTTTTTTATGTATTTATTGTCAAAGCATTTAATATATTCATTGCTANTAAGCAGGGGTAAAGTGCTATTTTTATAGGTGGTGTGTGGACCTCACATAGGGGGGTCCGGGGGCAAGCTCCCCCGGGAAGATTTAGAAATATTGAAGTTAAAAGCATCAATCTGGTGCACTTTGAGAGCAAAATGAAGAGATCTATGGATACATCTCTCAACACCCATTTGAAACACAACTGTAAACAGATTTACTATTTCTTTATGGATATTTTACAAATCACCCTTTTAAACTTTATTCTTTTTTTACTGTCATATAGTATTTCATACCTGTTTTTAATTTATTCTCTTATTTTTTTATAACTATAATGATCATATAGACGTGTGCCTCGGAAATAATTGTTTACATTAATGGTGACCAAAACGTTTGAGACCCACTGAGATAACACTGAGAGAGTCCTTTAGCTCACTGAGCCTCTCAGTCTGACAGGAGTCTCCTCCACTTTGATGTTGAAAAAACTCCTTATATCCGTTAGCGTAGCTCGCTAGCACCAGAAGCTAACAACAACGATCTCCGGTACCGGTGCGCTCTCTCTCTCTCTCTCTCTCTCTCTCTCTCTATTTTTTATTTTATTTTCGAATCAATCATTTTTCAAAATATGAATATTCTTTTATTTATTTATTTTAATAACCATTTTTCCTCCTGGTCTCTCGCGCCCCCCCTGTCATGCCTCTGCGCCCCCCACTTTGAGAACCACTGATCTAAAGTAACAGACAGAGAATCAGCACTTTTGAAACAGGGCTGAAACAGAGGGGATTATGGGATGCTACAATGAGTGATCTGTTTGGTATTTCGAGCCAAACACTTCAGAGACCTGTTTTGTATATAACTGAGACCTATTATTGATGAAAAACAGTATAATAGGGGACCATTAAATCGATGCAAAGACAAATGATTTGCTCTCAAATGAACCAAAATGCATACTGTCCCCCTTTGGGTGTATGAAGCGTCTCCAAATGGCTCCTACAGCGAGAAAAGTTATTTCCACAGAAGGAGGGCAGACATGCCTCGTTTGCTCAAGGAAACTTGGCACACAACAGGGTGACTGCTGCCATGCAGAGAGGCGCAGTGACTGGTCCTTGGACAATAAAGTGTTACACTTGCAGTATTTTAATTCTCTTTAAAGATTTACACAGTGTAGAAATCCTAAGCAGATGGCTGTTTGGGAGGGTTTGAGTGCGGTGGTCTTGGTATCAAGGAACGGCTGCTGTCCAAACCCCAGCCACTGATCTAATGGATGATGTGAGTCATACCCACCTTCAATGTGAACACAACCGTCTCCATCAAACACACGTGGACCAGCACAATGAGCCACATTCATACTACACTGTTTTTTGGGGTCACCTCTTTGTTCCAGCCCTGTTTTCTGCTAGAGTGCGCTCACATCTGTTTTGGATACACGCTTCTGTCTTTGCATTAGGCCGACTCTTAGCAGGCTATCAGAGTCAAGCACCTGCTTTACAAAAACACAGTAAGAGTTCAACTATATTGCCTGTGCCGTTGTATCAGTAGAAAGTCCCTCAGGAAGATGATGAAACATTGCCTACTGAGATGAAAATGTTAACAGTGCAACATTTGCCTTTAATTGGAGCCATTTTAGGGGGAGTTCTTGCCATGTGGTGCCTCACAGATTGTTCTAATTTCCAACATCCTCAGATCATGAGACTGAATGGTGTGGCAAGCCTGAGCTGACAAAATGCATGCATGCTTGGTTTAACTTCTGCAATTTCAGATTTCACTAAATTAAAAACACCACCATGAAGTGAACCTCTGACAATGGAAAACAAAGCCCAACACATTGACAATCTGTGTACTACTCATGTTCACTTAAACATGTATTTAAGTGTTTACAGTGAAGAGAAAACAACAATACCAACAACATTACTGATTAGGAAAAGCAAGCAGAAAATTGCCCAGAAGATCATGCAATATTACGCTAATGACAAAGAAATAACCTTGTGATTTTAATAAATAATATCATTTTAAATATAAAACTCAACGTCCCTTTTCTTGCTTTTATTTGACCTTTTAACGGCAAAACTTTTTTTTACCATGGTTAATGGATTTCTTTTAAGTACATCTGAAGTGGAAAATGAATTAAAAAAAGATTTAAAAAATCACAAGTTAGGATCAAAGATGTTAATTATTTATCTGATCATCCTTCAAAGATCAGTTTCCTCAATAAATCTCCAGTTTGACGAGTTATCGCTACTCCTCACTGACACTGATTCACCTCTTCCTGTTGGCAGGCAGGTTTTTATTCATGGGAAATGATAATGGACAGGATTTTGCATGTGATGTGTGGAATTTCCTGATTCATTTTCCATTTAAGGAGTCTAAATCATGACATTACGTAACATGTCAGCTCCTGACATGAAATGACCCCTGCTACGCTAACACAATGGAAACAGTCAGGGGGCGGCATTGAATTATTATTGTATTATCTGATTGCCTTTTAGCTGTTACTGAGCCTTCTAAGGGATAATAAAATGTCAGTAAATCAATGTTGAACTTTGCTATTAAGAACATAATTTTTGGTTTGCGCTTTTGCAAGATGAAATAGTGGCACGGCTCCACTAAAGTGTTGTTTTAGGCCTCTTTGTCAGTGGGAGAGATGCTAAAAATGGCCTTTGAATGCATTTAACCAGATGCACGGACGGTGCTCTTCCTCCATCTGTTCTATTGTCTCGGTGTTCTCTGGGATGAAGAGCGGATGCACCACCGAAGGAGATGCAGGAAATGCTCTTGGCCCAGAACAACATAGCCAACTTCTTCAGGCCTTTTACACAGTGCCTTCTGAAACAAGCATAAAATGAGAATATTCACTATCCCTAAAACACATTAAAAATGTCTGGTCTTGTAGATAAAGCCACCAATCGTCATAATTGTGATCAAATCATGTGGCACATAATGGATTCCTCACTTCACCACTCAAATGCACAACGTTCCACTATGATATCTTGATTCTACAGTTAATTTATCACTTTATTTTTTTTTTTTGTATTATTATTTTAATTTGTATTTTATTTTATCTTCATGTTTTGCCTTGTGTGAATCCTGTTTTTCACTCTGACCCTGTTGCTGCTATAAACGCCTGAATTTCCCCAAGGGGATAAATAAAGTTCCATCTTATCTAATCTTGTTCCTTTTTCTTTCATCTTTGTCAGCAGCGACTAGACAGTAGAATGCTTGATGCAGTGGAAAATTCATGTTCACAGTTGTAAGAGGGTTAAACTCAGCTCTGAGTGGTGTCCAGTCTCCAGCCAAAAGAGGAAGAGAAAGGTCTTACTGGTGTCAATGTCAAGGTCTTTGTCATTTTGAACACAACTTCACACAAACAGCAGCAGCCCTGCTCAGGGCGGCCTGTCAGACACACTCCACATATAGACATTATGGTCGAGCATTAACATTGACCTGGTGAAGCTGTGTATTTTTAAACACTCTTCAAAAACGGATACAAATAAAAGTGAGTCTTGTAAAGAGGAGAGGTTTACAGTTCTAAATAGAGAGAGGTCTGTGTACATTTGGAATGAGTTAAATGTGAGTGTGTGCATAACTATATAAATGTGTGTTTTTGTGGGATAATATTTTAGAAAGGGATGGATGTTGTTGACCCAAAGAGTTTCACTGCTGCACTGCAGTTGTAAAAAAAAGTCTAGTGCCATATCGACATTAATTCTGTCAGGCGTTCGGGGGGAAAGAAGTGAATTCTTGTGGTATATATTAAACAACAACCTATAGTTAAGAATATCCAAATTAAACCATAATTAGAATTTACGACACAGTTCAAAAGAAAATCGCTTCCCAGGCAATTTACGTCTTGTCAGAATTTGCCTTCAGGGTCCCAAATTCTAACCTCTAAATTGCTTCACTCTCAAATATTTGGAAGAAAAGAATCCAAAATCTCATTAGCAACCCGGGAGTGGTTTTGGGGAACTGCTGAGCCGCCCAGTTTGGCTCTTTTGAGCTCAAACCATTTTAACGTTTTAATCAGTTTCTTTTCATGTGTTGGTGTAATGTTATTTCTCACTGGAGCTAAAGCAGCAGTTTATTAAAGATAATAACACAGAAAATAGTAGAACGTTATCAGTCCTTACTCAACTGTGGACTGTATTATAGTGTGAGGCTGAAAAGTCCTTTTTAAAAATACCCTCACCACGAGACACACAGAAGCAATTAAGAAGCAGTAAACACTCAACCAGCCTACACAATCATGTTAGTTAAGTATTTCCTCTGTTAAACTCAAATTACATCATTGAAAAACACAAACTAAAACATTTGAACAAGATGCAAAGCCTAATTTGACACTTTTCCAAAAATGAAATATTAACAAATGTAAGTATTTGCTTCATGCTGCTAGAGGTCATGCATGTTTACACACAGCCCTGTGGATGAAGACCTTGACCGCAAAGGGGCTCAGTGACTCAATGGAGGCCCTGGGGTTGTGACACAAAATACTTCTACTATTATTACCCCGTGGAGTCACTCAGTACGCTTATAAAGACATCCAAGCCCACTTTCAACAACAAGCTTAGACAAACTCGAAAGCAAAGATTTCCATTTTTCCATGAAGTGAATGAATAAAGCAGCTGTCATATTAAATACTGACCATTAGCGTGTGCCCGTTTTGTCTCACAGTCCCAGAGGAAAGGGTATAGGGATAACAGAGAGCTCCAGGCAGGGGCGGACTGGGAGGAAAAAGTGGCTCGGGGATTAATTGACAGAAGGCCCACTTAATGCGCGGCATGTATCGGCCGGCCGGCGACGAAAGTATGTTAACAAAAAACCCTATGCATTTAATGTTATTTTGGACAATTATTCATATAGTAATCACATTACCTGAGCCCTTGAGTTGCCTAGAGCAAAATAGTTACAGCATATATATTTATTCATTTTAATGTTAACAGACCATTGATGCAATAACATTTGGACCCAATTTGCCCGACTTGACGCATAGAATAAAACATGGACGTAGGATCCATCCTCAATGTGGGTGAGACAATTTGATAGTGGGTGTGGGCAGGAGGTGGACCTCACCTCCTCTAGGGGCGTCCGGGGGCATGCTCCCCCGGGAAGATTTTTTTAAATGTTGAAGTTAAATGCATCAATCTGGTGCACTTTCAGTGCAAAATTAGGGACTAAATCTATGGATACATCTCTCAACCCCCATATGAAACAGAACTGTAAACAGATTGACTTTTTCTTCCGACATTTATTTGAACAGCAAGTGGAGGCAAAAGTGACTGCACCCAAAACAATAAACCTGCTAGCTAACTAGCCTAAACTCAGTAACAGAATGTGGGCAACACATTCTTCTCCACAGCAGAAGAAATTAATTCTTAATTTTTATTTTAAAATTTGTTTTTGGCCCTCCGGCCCACGCACAGCACCAGCCCACCGGGAAAACTCCCGGTATTCCCAATGGCCAGTCCGCCCCTGGCTCCAGGTACTACCTTACATAATAGCATTTCCCTTCCAAACCTCTTTCCAGCTATAGTCTAACACAGGGAGCCAGACCTGCGCTGAATGTAGGGGTAACATTCTGCTGCTCTAGCTTTCCTGTTGAATGTTTTTCTAAAAGTTGCCCATTCTCTGCCCCTCTCTAGAGATTATGAAGCTGTCAAGCAACACATTTCCCATAAAAGGCAGAAAGATTAGACTGGACATGCATTGCTGGTCTTCACATGTCAAAGGTCCTGGAAGTTACGTTGTTTGTCCTCTCAAAACTGAATTTATTGGAGCCTGTGTTCAGAGTTATCTAAATAATGTATCTCCCTTTGGTTGCACCATATGGCTGTTGATGCTTATTATTTCCACGATAACATCTCAGTCTCTGCGCTCCAACCATGGCTGGCCTCCAAAAACAGATCCCCAAATCAAAAACAAATGAACTTATGTGCAAACGAACTAGACTGTAACACAAAGCACGTTTTGTTCTCCACTGGACAGAGAACTGCTATGAAGGACATATAATTGACACTCTGGGGGACCCAAGTTAGAGCCTCTCCCTCCAGAGCTCTGGGTGCATGAGTCACGTCAACTGTCATAAAACATTCAATCCACTAGCAGCTGTATATCAGGTCCGGTATTAATGTGCTGCTCTTCTGGTGTCAAGGACGATTTCAGGGCCTTCAACTATCTTTGCATTGGCTTAAACGAAGAAGGACAGCATTCTGATTCTGATTTATGTAGCATGCCAATAGAGTGGTGCAGGAGCGAGTCCTAAAATCCGGATTTTGGAAAATAGCTCAAAATAAGGTCTGTGGTTGACGCAAATTTAAGAGACGGATCACGTTTTGTTCTATGACATTAAATACATCAGCAGTGACCCAACTGGTGATTTTTGAAGAGTTTACGTGTCTGAAAATCGATGGTTGTTAACAAGTGGCTGAATAGTACTACAGAAGTTGTGGAGGACGCTGTACGTCATGACGCCGAACACGTAAACACTCCCTCAAGTTTGTTTGCCCCTGTTCTGCTTGAAAGCAAGTACCTGCACTCTTGCACACCGTTAAAACAAACGCTTCAATTTGTACAATTTTGAATTTGTATTTTTGAATATCGATATGAATGCTTTAGCGCAAGTTCAATAAGGAAGACCTAACAATGAGTCACTTACACCTCACTATATTGCTCTCTTCCCCCTCATTAAATGCGTGGGCGTCACCGCTCAGCAGCCAATCGCTGCACATGTTAAATTCCTTAAATGCCTGCTCTTCCTCCCTGTCAGTTTTCATTTCAGGTGACCACACGCAACAGCAGCAGGGCTTCGTCCCAGCTCCAGGTATATATTCATCAGCTCCGCAGTCTCGCGGATTTAGCTACAGGCGGCGTTCCCCAGTTGGCTGGCCGTTCTAGCCGGCCATCCCGCAAAACCGGACGCGGGAGGAAAGGACAAGGATATCGGGCTTCACGGAAGTTCCTCCGGCTTAATGGAAATGAGCTACTTCACGCAAACAATCGACGCACGCCTTCAGTCTCTCGAGAGGGCATCACTGGCATCAGGGCCACTCAAATGCGGCGCTTCCGGCCTTCACCCATTTCCGGCTTCAACCACAACCCCTCTTGCAGGCAGGCAGGGCTTAAGCTACATCCCATTGAAGCTACTTCTCCTCCCGGGTCAGTAGCCAGTCATAGGCGGCTAGCAGGCTTAAGAGCAATTCAGAGCTCGTTCGGGATAGGTGCAGCAAACCTGCCGCAATCAAGGTATTTCTTCCTCTTCCCTACAACTACTGGACGGCAGTCCTCCTCTGCCTTCACATCCTACACTCGCCCGGACATCAGCGCCGTGCTGGCCATCCAACGATCTCTCAGACCCGAACTATGGTATTTATGCATATAACTGGTGGTGGTTCATAACACGTTTACACGTATACATGTTTCAATATGGTATCGGATTTCAAACTGCATTCCTGTCCTAGTCCGCGGGCCCCGCCCACAGGGAATAATGTCTCGTCTCACGTTGCATCTACATGTCACAGGCTATATTCTCCGGCACGCAGGTATCTAATCCCAGGCCCGTGCTCAAATGTTCTGTGTAAAAATGTATAACCTGCGACGTCAGGTTGTGGACTGTGTGTCCCCGTAGACTTCGGTCTGTGTTCAAATGTGCTGTGTAAAAATGTATACCCTGCGACGTCAGGTCGTAAGAAGAAGAGAGGAAAAGAAAAGAGAGTGATAGAAGAAGGGACCGTGTGTCCCCGTAGACTTCGGTCTCGTGGACTGTGGGCCACCGTAAACTTCGGTTTCGTGGACTTTGGGCCACCTTAAACTTCGGTTTCTGTTAAAAAACAAGATCCCTGCTTCGGCAGGACGTTCGACCTTCGGGCAGCGTAGTCAAGCCCTGCTAGCCAGGCAGGCGACCCTCAGGTCGTTTTCAGATAAGACCGGCACTGATTTCGGCAGTCAGAGTCTCAGCATGACCCGTAAGCTCCGGCAGTGATTCCGGTCTCCTGTCGCATACATATGTTAATCTATTATTTCCTCCCCAGATCACCACAGTCACCCTAAAAGGTAAGAAACTCAGTTCATCTCAGTATTCTATACTTCACTGGTTTTGGGGATTCATCGGAGCGGTTCTTTCCCTCCTGAATGATTATCCTGCAAACCGGGGCCTAACCGCCAAACACCATTCCATTCTCCCGTTGTATCATCATGGCAATCACTTCATCATGCGACGTGTAACGGTAAATATGTATTCCATACATCACATCTCTCCGGGTTGAAGTGGGGTTGTATGAGGTACTTATCCATAGTCAGTGTATTACGCCCACAGTAGATGATGGTCGGCATTCCCCCAGTTTGGAGATGCAGACAGGAATTACCGCACCGAAGCAAATCAATGTACTGGGGTGGATGGGGGTGTATGGGGTCGGCAGCAAAACATATTTAAGACACATAAAAGAAAGGCTCACAAAAAAAATCAGTTAAGTGTATGATATATTTAGAACATTTTGCTGGTTTACCTTGCCATGAGACAGCTATACTGTCTATGTTTCTTACAGAGAACCAAAGTCGCCATCTATGTTCAGTGTTTCCCCTAGGATGGAGTCATAGCAGCGGTACTAAGGCACTTGGGGCCAGCATAATGTGAGCGCGGAGCGCGTGGAATTTTTTATTGCGTGCAAAGTGCGCCCCGCCAATTTGTTTCTATGTGTCAGCACAAGAAAGGCTCTTGAGGCCTAGTACCAGGGCCGGTTCTAGACAATTTGCTGCCCTAGGTGAGATTTGAGGCGATATTTTATGTGTAAAGAATAAATGAAAAATGTCTACAAAAGACAAATACACTGCAAAAACAGAAACTTATTGACATAGGTAATAGACGTAAAAATGGCTTCAAATGTATTCAGTATTGTATGAACATGTTTGAATTTGGGGGTGGACGTCACATCCTTTAGGGGGGTCCGGGGGTATGCCCTCCCGGGAAGATTTTTTGAACATT